ATCTTCATTTTGAACTTATCTAATGAGTTCTGTTTACTTGCAGCTTATGCGCAATAAATGAAACTTATTGTTTTTCTTAACTTTCTTCGTGCTTTCATATATTCATTTATTTTGTTGTATATATATATACAACAAAATAAAAAAATACAAAGACACACGAAGAATATTAAGAAAAATAATAAGTTTCATTTATTGCGCATAAGCTGCAGACAAACAGAACTCATTAGATAAATTCAAAATGAAGATAAAACAAAGAAAAATTACAGACATATATGAAAAAGAGGGGGGGGGGGGAAGAAAAATAATAATAAAAAAATAACAAACTTGAAAAATAATAATAAAAAAATAACAAACTTTTGCGGATTTTTTTTAAAAAATCCGCAAAATAAAAGATATAATCTTTTCATCAGCCCTCACGATTATATTCGCAAAAAAGAGTGCTTTCTGATATTGTACCAATATCGCCAAAGCAAAATATATTAATACAATTGTGTGAGGAGCACTCAAGAAAATTTTTTGCAAAAATTACAACAAATAAAAATAGAACGCAATAGGTAAAAATAACACGTAAAAACAGAAATAAAAAAAAAATAAAAATAAAAAACAGAATAAAACATAAACTATAAAGCGAGTAGCGAATTCAAATGTACTTACATGAACGGGAAATTTTTCAAGAATGATTTAAAAAATATTTTCGTAACAAGAGTGCCAGATTGCAAAATATGAAAACAAAAGCGCAATTTGGCGTAACTAGAGGAGTTTTGTTATATATATTGCTTACTTTATGTGTGAGAGATGTTGACTTACAGAGTGAGAGATGATGGATTATTTCCCGGTAAAGATGGTTCTGCATTCATAAGAGAGACTCCCATACAAAATTAAAGATAAAGCAGAGATCCCCATAACACACTCTTGTCAAACACTTCCACTTCTCGTGAAAATTGAATCATAATATTTGATTTATGAAATGTGAATACGAAATGAATAGAGAAACTAAAATGTTTCGTTTCCATAGTTTCCAATTATTGGGGTAATTAGCCTAGTTAACTATTCTTTATCTAAATAGCACATTTATACCAAGATATTTGTCTGAAAGTTATGCAATAGATTTTTTTTTCAGAGAAAGAAAAGAAACTAAATAAGTTTCATTTACATACTAGTAGTCGCTGTGATAATTCGGACTAATAACCCTTAAGTGTAAATATTACTAAATAACATGTTGTTATCAAGATAGAAGTCTCAAATGTTAATCAAAGTGTTCCTTATCGTAGTATAAAGGAACACAAAAGCAGTTTCGTTTCGATGTTTTGTAATTTTTGTGCTAATTAGGAATAGTAATGAAATAACACGCTCCAGGCAAAATTTATGCCCCTAATCAATTTATAATGATAATTTAAAAAAACGACTATTTCGATATTTGGTAACCATCGAAGCTATCAGTCAAATAGATAGTCATGCTAAATATCAAGTTTCAACTATATGATTTATTATTTGTATTTATGGCAGCATAATCAATTCCGGAATTTTCGCGTCTTAGTCGTGATGAGAGTTAAATTTATGGAGGTAATGTAATGAGTTCATGTCGGCTGACTAGTTCGTTGCCTGAGTCGTCTTGTTGTACAACTTCCACTCAAACAACTTTAATTCGAATTCAAAACCTTTTAATTCATTACACTTTGTACCATTTCTTTGTATGGCTTCAGATGCAACATACATAATACTATCAATTAAATAATCTATTATATATTTTGAAAACAATAAGGCAATTGTGTCTAGATATTGAGTCTGAAACATTGACTCAGTCTTGAGTTCAGATTGTCATTGTCATGGGTATGTTAATCACTGTCCACAATTTCGTGTTTTATTCCTTGAATGTTTTAAACACGGTAATTCGCTGTTTAAAATAGTTTATTATTTCTTTTCTGTTACGTTTTATGTACCAAATGTCGTACGCAATCTTTTGTGTCAATGTAAACATGCGAACGTTACATAAGAACTGATATATGAATCCACATCTGCAACTTGTTGATTGTTGCTTTTCTACCGTTGTTAAAATAAAAGCAATAACAATTTTAATATACTTTTAGATAAGGTCGTTTATTTTGTATCTCAGCATTATAACTGCAAAATAAAATTAATTTAAATATTGAATGAATTTCAATATATGAGATTTATCAACAAACAGTGCTCACCTTAACTAAAAGAAGGAAAAAATAAAAACAGTTTATTACTTTAAATGGCATCTGTTTTAAGGACTAAGTGATAATAAATAAATACTTCACGTTCCCGTCCATAAATAAATTATATCATCATAGCTATTTTACTTAGATAGAAATTATACGATAGTTAATAGTTACTGTAAATGTGATTATGTTAATTAATGTTATGTCTTTTGTTAATTTTATTTCAGTAATTTTATTTTTGTGCTGATTTCCATGCTCTAAATTGCATACATCTTTGAGCTATACAATCCATGCCTATCGTCTATTACGAAATCTCATACATCTAGAATTGTGCGCATCAAAGCCTTTTGTTCTTCTTTTTTTAATATATAAATAAATTTTACTAGAAAAGTTAACCTTAAGAACTGTTTCAAAATTTAGAATCACCAATCAGAACATAATTCAAATTATTTTTAAACTTGTACGTAAACTTGTACGAAATGCAAAGCATTTCAACTTGTTAATAGTTTGTTAACAATAGTAACAATTGTTAGCGGCCACATTGCATTCATTAACGGACTACCTATTAATCGCTCCATCCTTGTCTTTCCTTTTGCTGCTGAAAGAAAACATATCGCGCATTCTAAAAGAGCAACATCCTCCTCCCTCATCCCTGGAATCTTAAAAGGCAATCAATAAACGGCCGCCGCAAACAGATTACTTCCCTTCTTTCCGAGGAGGATAACGTTTTTCTCTTCTCCAGCAGAGCGGACTTCCGACAACTTTGAGCGTGTTTTGCACGTGTTTAAGAAGAAGAATGTTTAAAAAAATTTCAAATGACACAGCGAACTATACGGGCGGACAGGACACCGACGTCTCTCTATTTAATTTTGAAGACATCTTTTTTTTCATTTTGACGATGCCAACTATGATGTCAATAATTTTATCTGCCATTTTCTTAAATACACTTGTTATCATGAGTGTTTACCAAAACAAAAAATTACAAACATTCACAAACTATTTTATTGTGTCTCTGGCCTGCACCGACATTTTAGTGGCTTTGTTTGCTATGACATTTAATGCCATTCAAACAGTTATGGGGAGATGGATATTCGGAGAAGTTGTTTGTGACTTCTGGAATATCTGTGACGTCTGTTTTTCAACAGCGTCAATTCTCCACCTCTGTTTCATCAGTATGGATCGATATTATTCACTCGTCGATCCTCTTAAACACCGCAGTAAAATGACCTGCCACAAAGTGTTCGTCATGCTTGGTGTCATCTGGACTCTATCAGCAGTCATCAGCTTCATACCCATATATATGAAGATTTACACTACGGATGAGCATTTAAAGAATCGCTTAAGGCACCCAGAAACGTGTGACTTTAAGGTCAACAAAACCTACGCGATCATCTCGTCTGGAATAAGTTTCTGGGTGCCAGGTACTTTGATAGTAGGAGCCTACATCCGTATATATCGACTGGCTAAGCAAGCTACTGATACATCTGATATAGACGCAGCTGAACATAACGACAAATCGATATCACCCCGGGAAAAAGGTGACCCGACAGTTATTAAACGGAATTTCAATAAACTGAAAAAAGGACATAAACCTGAAAAAACATTAGGACTAATTTCAGGAGCCTTCATAATTTGTTGGTTACCATTTTTCGTGTGGTACGACTTCGTCAGCCTTTGCTCGTCGTGTGAATGCCCCGAAGTAATAGGGCAAATCCTTTTCTGGGCAGGCTATTGTAATTCTAGTCTGAATCCTATTATTTACGCATATTTCAACCATGAATTTAGAACTACATTTAAAAAAATAATTACAGATATGACGAGTGGTAAAATAAAGAAAAGGAACACTATTCGGGAAAACATCAACTGCCACTGCGTCAGATACACTGGAAGCGTAGAAGAGGTCTAACATGGTACATTTCATTCATGATCTATAGGTAAGCATGAATATAGATTTTTTTTAAAAAATTGAATTTCATTATTTACTTTGCTTTTTGAATTACCAATAAGCTGATAGGTAAACATAAGTATCTAAATGTTTCCTCGTAAATTATAATGTATAGGTAGTCACGTTTCCCGATAATCGCTACATTTAATAATTAAATGCGTATATCTTATGTTAAGAGTATGATTAATCTATCTATCATAGAAATCTTATGGTTTGTTTCTTTGATTAGTTGCCCCTTAAGAATGTTTACTTCTAAACTGAACGGAGTCAAGCTTGGAATGTAATTAGAAAAAGTTTCTTCACATCAAAGAATTACGAAATTATACAGACAATTGTCTTTTTTTAAGTTTTCTTTGCGTTCCAGACTATTCAGGTCCATGGTTGAACTAATAGTTGGTAATTACTTAATAATTTTTTTTTCGTTAGATGGTCTTTTTAACGAAAAACAGAAAATAATCACTGTAGTTTTCAATATTTCTTTATTGGGTTTCAATAATTTAAATAAGTTTGTTTCTAAAAAAAGAAAGAAGTTTATTATATTTCAAACGAATTTAGATAAATTTACATGTAATTTTAATCAGCTTTTGAAAAAAAATTTGAAAAATATATACATATATTTGTTTTATAATTGAGTGAAAATTGGATTAATTTTTAAGCATAAATGGGTTTTAGTCGAAACAATGACAATAGAAAAAAATGATGGTATACTTGTTCTTGATTGCAATATTTATTTTTTAAAAACTCTTATTTTAATACAAATATTTGTGACAGAGTATTGTATTTTCTTAAACATGAAAATAAGTGTTTTTAGATGCTGCTTAGTTCATAGTAAATATATATTGTTTCAAAGAAAATGTCTTCTTGTATTTAAGGCTTAAATTAAAACGTTTTAATGTACCTCAGTAGAAATTTGGTAAAAAATTTTATCAAAAAAGTGAAGAAAGATATATTTAAATTAAAGAAACAAAGAGGAAATATACTTTATTTAAATTCTGAGGTGAAATATATTCTATTTAATATAGTGAAGCTATGAAATATTTAAGCGGAAGGCAAAAGAACCAATACTGAGAAATACCGAGCTTGTGAACTATTTTATCAGTGGAGAAAGGGGACAGGTGAAACAGCTCCGAGTTCCGTCAAATAATAAAATTGTTTTTAATGATTTTCATTTCATGTTGAGAAAAATGACCAATTAAAGCTACCGAAACTCAACAAAAATTTTTATGTTTCTGGATTTATGAGAAGAACAAAAAGCTCGGTAATTTTTTTCCGAAAATAACATTTTAAACAATAAAATATGGTTTTATAATAAGTGAATAAGATTTTCGCATAATTGGTAGTTTTGTCATGATACCTTGGAGCATGATAGAAAAAGTATTTATTTGCTTATATATATATATATATATATATATAGTAAAA